GATGCATGTCGTTGTGTCCCCCCCCCCCCCCCCCCCCAAACCTGAGCAGCAAGCAAAAACGGGAGAAGCTAAGTGTTGCATTCTGGGTTATGTAGTACAATCACATCTCTCTCTGACTACAGGACTACAAACCAGGGGAGGACCCTGCCTTGTTTCAGTCTGTGAAGACAGGTCGGGGGCCTCTGGGCCCCAACTGGAAGGTATGGTTGTAAGGGGAATGGGTAACTGTGTCTTCTATCCTCTACCATGGCGGTTTTTTTTTAATTATTTAATCAATCTGGGTTTGTGCACTTTTGAGGCACTATGCTGATGTCCTGTGTGTGTGTGTGTGTGTGTGCGTGTGTGTGTGTGCGTGTGTGTGTGTGCGTGTGTGTGTGTGCGTGTGTGTGTGCGCCTGCATGCATCCAACAGAAGGAGCTAATGAACAGCCCAGACACCCCGCACATGTGTGCCTACAAACTGGTCACTGTCAAGTTCAAGTGGTGGGGCCTGCAAAACAAGGTGGAGAACTTCATTCACAGTGTGAGTGCCCCCCCCCCCCCCTCCTACACATCATGTTGCTTCCGTCTGGCCTTCTTGTAGTTTGTCAGCTTCGCCTCCTGTGGTTGAGGCATGTATCCCTCCTCCCTGCAGCAAGAGAAGAGGATCTTCACCAACTTCCACCGGCAGCTGTTCTGTTGGATCGACGGCTGGGTGGAGCTCACCATGGAGGACATCCGGCGGATGGAGGACCAGACGCAGAAGGAGCTGCAGGAGGTATGCATGGCTGTTAAAGTGCACCCTTTATGTGGGAAAAGTCACCCAAAGCTTGTCACATTGTTTCCCACGTGGAGGAGACCCCTGTGTGGTACCCAGTCCCTCAGACACGCGGCCAGGAAGCTGCTGTCGCAGTGCCCATCTAACCACCGTATCATGCCGAGGAAGAGACTCCAGCTGCACTCAACTTTTTGCCCTTTAGGAACAGCCTCCTCTTCCAGGCTCTGATCTCGAGGTCCCACTGAGGTCCAAAGTACCCAAAATATGGGGTCCATGAAAGTGGCCTCCTGCGGTTCACACTTATCGTGTCCCAGCTTCCTGTAATGATCCCGGGCTTCTTAAACACGGGGTCCGATCCACTGCTACTACCACCAAGTGTCTGTCAGATAGTAATTCTGTTTATCAAGCTACATGTGGATGGAAACTAAGAGGTCCCCCGAGGGAGGGGGTAGGTTTTCTCTATTTTCCAGATGTTTCCGCCCAAACTAATGCTGCTCATCCCCTCCCTGTCCTCCACCCGTCCACTTAAGCTATAGCACCATGATTGCTAACAGCTGGGGTTGCATGGCCGGGACCGAGTGAAGGCCGTCCCATTCCCGGACAAACCCCGCCTCCGCTCCGGTCCACGCTGACTCCTACCCCCTGCCAGCCTTGGCTAGGGCCGCCAGCTGACCTGCTGACCCTCTCGTTTTGCATCTAGATGCGACAGAAGGGCTCCGTTCGGGGCACAAAAGCTGCAGAGGACTAGCCCCGCCCCCCAGTGTAGGTCAGAGGCAGGCTGAGTAAGTCCTACAGGTGGGGAGAGGAGGCGTGGTCCTGGCAACGTGGCCCCCCACCCTCCCTCATATGTCGTCACTGTTTCTCAGCATCTCCATGTAGGGACGCTGCTGCGCTGCTTCCATCCACATCAGACAGGGGGCGTATGTGTCCTGATTCTGTGATGGTAATTCCATCTGATCTCATTGTGCCTCTGAACTATGGTGTAGAGCTAGAGAAGGAGCAGCTGTTTCGTTTAAAGGGTTAATTATTAATTAAGACGACGGCTTTGGCTTCTGCGAAAACCTGGCCGATCCCCTACTGCCCCCCTCCTTACAAACAGCACCTCTGCCTCTTGACCAGTTCTACTGACATCTCTAGCATACTAGCATGAGGTACTGGGTCCATAAAGCACCCTGGGATTCCGCCCTCTGCCCAGCTCGGTGTGATGGAAGCAGAGCACATTGCGTCCCTGAGCTCCATGATAACCATGCATTCTTTTCACCAGCTTCTCTTGCCAGTCCCTGGGGGGGGGGGCGCCATTTGCACCTTTTTTCCTTCACCTGTGCCATAGGTTTCTGCTGTGTGTGTGTGTGTGCGCGACTAAGGCTAGTGGATGTATGAAAGCAGCCGCACTACACTCTACGGTATGCTATGGAGCACCCAGTAACCCTCTGAGCTCCGCCCCCAGGACACCCACTGCTGTCTGGATGGGTAGTGGTTCCACCTGTGCTGTCACCCTCAAGGATTGCTTGCCATGGGCTCCTTTTCCAGTGCTTCTCTGACAATCTCCTGCCCGTCGTGCAACCGGAGAGACGTTTGCACGTTTGTTCACAGCTGCAGCCTTTTTCGAGACACTGCCTGGTCATGGGTGCAGGCTGCAGAGCCCATGATGGTGTTGGCTTGCGACACTCTGGTTGGGGAGGGGGGGGGGGGCAACTCCCTGCTTGCCACCGTCATCCTCCTGTTGCATGCCCTGTTGCATGGTGGGGATTGGGGGGCTGTTAATTAGAGGGACAGTATGCAACTGGGATTGTGATTCTGAGAAGTCTGTGTGGGTGAAAGGGGGGGGGCAATGAATTCAGAAAATTTGCGAATGGAATCATGCCCCCCCTCAATGATAAGGAACCAGACCTGAATGAAAGCTGAACAGCTCCCCGAGCAGGAAGCACTGTGCAGCAGTAGTTCTCCAAACCAGGAAAGTTACCCCCATCCATATGACCCCCCATCTTATCACACACAGGCTACTCTCTTGAAGCACAATTCCCAGATGCCCCATGTATCCTATTTCTATGGAACTGCTTTGGTCCTGATTAATTTCTCTCTTCTCCCCCTTCACCTCACCCCACTTACAGCTTCGCAGAGAAGGTCAGGTTCGAGGCACCAGTGCTGCAGATGAACAATAAGAAAACATTTTCAAAGCAAAAAGGAAAAAAAAACATCCCACCATGACGAGAAGGATATGGACGTGCAGAGCCCTGATTACTGTCCCTGACGCTCGAGGCGGCACACAGCAGGGCTGTAGGGCTGTACCCACCCTCAGCATAATCAGGAATTTCATTGGATGGAAAAGGAAAAACATTTTTTAACAAAAAATTACCGGTCTGTGTCGCTTTTGCAGCAAACATGAAAGAGTACCTTTTAAAAGAAATTACTGTAATTTTTTTCTAAAGCATTCATTAGTAATCGTTTCCATGGTTTAATCTCAGATATCGGACCAATTTCTCTTTTTGGATGTACATGTTGGGTTGTCGTGCCTGTTCCCCCAAAGCCTCTTCTGTACAAAGTGCTCTGAAGCCTGGTGACTTCCCACTTTCTGGGAGAGTTGGATCCGCTCTAAGCTTCTTTTTTTTTATATATATATGTGTAGTTTGTTTCATCCATCACTTTTCTTCGCCTGTTGTAGGTATTACTCTTAATTGGAGTGGAACATATTTTCTTCCACCCAACAAACAACCAAATGTGACCCCACACACACACGGATTAAAATCATGGTGAGTGGGGCTTAACAGGGCAATTAACAGGCTCAGGGGAACCATTGGTGGGAGACCAGGGTAAGCATTATCATGTTTGATCACTTTCAGCGCTGCCTGGTTTAGGGGTGAAGGCAAAGCTAGTGATGTGAGACAGTGCCGGGGACGATGCTGTCCCCTCTGGCTGTTTACAGACCGGCCTGTCTTTCGGCCGCACCCCACCTTCTATGGGGGGTTTTGATCCCCACACTGCGAGGGTTGTTCAGGGCGAAGGGCGTGCCTGTCAGGTAGGCTGTAGACCTGCCAGTAAGTGTTTCAGTGACGGTCTGTGGGCCAGTTGGGCTGCTCTGCTTCCATTTAAAGGTGTATCTGCTGCTTTGAACAGACCGCCCCCTTTGGGGCGCAGTGTCACGCCCCCTTTGGGGCGCAGTGTCACGCCGCTCCTCGTCAGGTCCCGCCTCCTTCACCTCAACCATGTGCTGATCGTTTCCCCATCGGACACCTGGTCAGTTGCCTGTAGCTTTCCGGATTCTTTTAATCTTGTGCAGTTTCAGCTGTGTACGTGCGTGAGTGAGCGAGAGATTCTTTGTGCTTACGGTTAACTGGTAACCTAAACCAAGAGTATTAAGATGTAGCGGACTGGAGTCGTGGCCTGTATTTGAGTTCTTGGTCAGCTGTGATGTCTCCACAGCAACTGTTTGATTCATACTGACATGCAAAATACAGAACTGTCCTACGTTTTTACTTGACTTCCTTTGTTCGTTTGTCCTGCCCACATCATATCTGTTTGGTGATCTAAATGCACTACATCACTTTGCCAGCAGGGCGGCAACATGAAACTGCATTTACTGGTCCTCTGCTGCTCTTATTGAAGATTCTTTTGATACTCAGCACAGCAAGTAACCTGAAATACTTTTTTCCTCTATTTTTGTTTTATTTGTTAAATATAAAGGTTTTTAGTAGTTTTCCAGTTTGACCAATATACGATTTCAGAAACAGGTTGCTAGCCATCTTTTCCTCAGTGGCGGTTTACTGGTTTTAATACTACTACGGCAGCCTTTCTGGGAGAATCCTGTTCCAGGGGAAAAGGAGAGCTCAAGATGGAGAACAAACCGTACAGTGTAATCATGATTAACCACCTTAATTGCGGAATTGACTACTGTTTTTCTTAAAAAAAAAAAAAGAGGGAGATGCATTTCAATGTCTTTTTGTCTGATCATTGTTTAAATTCAGGGGAAATGGTATTAAATGTGTGCTATAAACTGATGCAGCATTTGAGCTGTCACGTAAAAGGTCTACACAATGAAATTTTAACAATATCAAATAAATTTCAACACAACTACCTGAAGTTTGTTTATTTGAACTTTCCGCCTAACCTGAGTGATGGCACTGAGATTCCACTCAACTCCTACATGGTTCCCATTTGGGACAAGAAAGTTTTATTGGTTTCATACTCACCTGGACCATCTGCATTAGCTAGTTTTGGGGGCTGCTGAATGGCTCAGCAGGCTAAGCCTCTTCCTGTGATTGGAGGATCACTTTTGGAAGCCTCGGCTTCAGCAGAATAGTCATATTCGGTTTGATTGTACATGCTGGCTGCCCCTGCACTGTCACTGCCAAGCTTGCTCTCACCTTCACATGTGTTTCTGTGTCTCATGGACAGCAAGATGGGGTAGCTCACGGGACCCAAACTCCAGTCCTGGGGGGCCGGAGCCCTGTGTAGCTTAGTTCTTTCCCTCTTCTGCCACAAATGATTCAGCTCAAGAGCTGTGTGGTAATTAGCACAAGGAGTTTAATCAGGTGCAGGGCTCCGGCCCCCCAGGACTGGAGTTTGAGACGCCTGGGGTAGCTGAAGAGAAGCATTCTAAAGTACCTGCATATTAAGGATGGTAAGAACCTTTATTAATCCCAAAGTTGGGAAATTTGCATTGTTATCGAAGAAAAAGGGGCAATACAAGATGAGTAATAAAATGGCAATAAAGACTATGTGATATACAAAAAATAAATGAATATATATATATGAAAAATATATATATATATATATATACACACACACACACACAAGTGGAAAACTTCAGCTTCCCAGAAGCAGCAGAAATTTGATGTTTAATAACAGCAGAAATGACTATATTAGAAACGCCGCAAAGCCTTTTACATGGAAACCATAGCACTTCACAGTCCACATAAAGATGTGTCTCTGTATGTTTTTGTTTGGTCTGATATCCTGAGCACCTGCCGCCACACACAAACACACGCGCATCAGTCTGATCAAATGTTCAGATGATAGTGTCCGCCGTGATGACAGCCGTCAGCACCACCGCAGAAGACAGGTGAGCTGCATTCGGGCTGCCGAATGATTACGATGCTTCTTCATGTTCCTGCCACCTGCCTGGCACGGTGTTGGTGTGGCACTGGGACATGTTGAACTGTACCTCTGTTAAGATGTCTTTTTCTCCTCACCCCCCCCCCTCCAGGGGATTCTGATGCTCTTATGTCTTTGTTAGACCCTTCAGGTCTGGTCCGTCTTTGTTTTGTGTGTTCTCCATGTGACCCACAGCAGTGACGCTTCTCCGGTGTGGAATTCCGCTCTTCTAGCTCTCACACCAAGCCCTGGGGTAAAATTGACCCCCGAGGCACATATCAGGCGACTTTCCTCATAGTAACAATTATTGTAGGAGTGAGTAAGAGCTAACAGTGTCAGTTTATCGAAACAGCCCCTTCCCTATGAGAAGAGCAGCCCTGTGCCTCCTCATCCTAAGATGCTGCATTTTATTCTGGGGGGGGGGCTCAAACTGAACTGCATGTACCCTGGGAGCGACGGTTCCATGCACCAGGTTGGATGTGAGGCCCAGCAGATGTCTGTGTTATTAGGACGCTGGAAACATGCTGCTGTGGAGGAGGGCAGGAATTGAGTTTTCTCTCTTCATTCCCCCCCCCCCCCTCTAGATCTTGAGTTTTTACACTCAGTGAAACACTGAATATTAGTATTGTTACTATTATTATTATTATTTACATTTAATAATAATAATAATAAGCGAAACACAAATGTAAGCACATTTTCTTGACAGACTCTTATTGTGGGGGGGGCGTCGGGGGGTCGAGCCGCTTCAGCTGATGAACAGCAAAGTTAATGGCAGAAAAAACTAACCAAGATTGTGGAAGCAAGACAGTCTAAACAAGAAGTCAGAGTGAGTTGCATATTTGTAAAAACTGTAAAGCATGAATGCAAAGCATTGCATTTATGACATTGGTTTTCAAGATTTTTTTGCTTCTTGCCCTGTGCAATGTTGTGCAAGTAATACTTGGAGGACATTAAGGTCAAATGCATCTGCCCCCCCTAACAGAAC